ATAGAGCTCACACATCTGCCTGAACATGCTCGATGACTTTCAGACTAAAACAAAACCTTTTCGCTTTACAATAAGCCTTTGCACAGCAGGCAAGCTCTGGCTAATGTAGCACTGCTACTAACTGGCCCTTTGCCCTCACCAAATGCTGCCCAAGCCACCAGACATTGCTTCCTGCACCTGCCGAGCAGAGACAGCCAAGGAGACACGAGGGAAAAAGAGGAGCGTGGCGACTCCCTTGAGGAACAGGGGCAGCAAGCTGCTGTCGCCACTGCCCGTGGCAGAGAAGAGGACTTAAGAGCTAGATTTGCCTCCCCAAAGGGCGGGTTTGAGTATAAGGGATCCATTAATCCACAGCAAAGAAAACAGAACATTGCACTCGGCACTATTTGCTCGAGCAAAAGAGAGGCAGAAAAAAAGGTTTCTGTCATATGATGAAAAATCACAGCACAGCAGGGAAAAAGGCCTTGCTAGCAGCAACACGTGGCCCCAGGACTGGAGTCATTTCAGTGCTGTCCATTTTCCTATTGTTGGTAACCAGAAAACGAGCAGGCCAGTTCACAACGGCTCGGCTGGAGTACTACCCTCGTGCACAGGGCAGCCAAAGCTCATCGCTTCACATACGCACTCACCGGACGGGCAGCTTGCTAGACCGAGCACAGGATTTCACCCAACGTTCCAGTTGGGCTCCACGTTTAGCTCAGGCAGGAGAAGCTACCTGTGCCCCTCTCTTCACCCTCAGCCTTCACATGCCTGCTAACAGAAAGCAGTCGTTAGTAAACGCATGTAGTTTTGGGCCCTTACCAAGAGACAGGCTCGTGATTCAGAGACTACATAGGGAAGTGACATAGTCAAACAAAAATCCAGCTGTGGAAGAAAAAAAAAAAAAAAACAAAACAACAAACTCCCAAGGCAGTATCACAATGGCCAAATGGAAAAGACATACTCCCTCCCGCCCCTTCTACGCATTGCCCTTATCCAGTACACCAACCTTTGCTTTCCAGGCAGCTCACTTCACCCTCACACAGCTGTGGGAGGCAAGACCCCTCCTGAAAGTACAGCCAGCTCACAGCACCAGGGAAGATCCTCAGCTTCACTGGTTTTACTTCCTCCCAGATACCTCGCAGAGGTCAGCTCGCTCCAGCTGTCAAAATAGCTCACAGGTCTCCAAGCAAGCAGGATGATTCCACTGACAACTAGGTCACATCTACCCACCACCTGCAGAGAGCTGCTCAGCTATACGCGGCTTTCCCATTTTCCTCCAATTAGCCATAGTACTCCCTCACTGCAGGCAAACAAGCTCACTTGGGCACAGGAGAGGAGGAGAGGGTGAACCTGCAGCAACGTGACAGATCAGCGATCCAGGGAACACTGAAAAAAGGCCATGAGCTGACCCGGTAGGTTTAAAACAGGGCCTGAGACACTAATGCATGTGGTTACAGGGTTGTGCAAAGACCTGTTCCCCTGACTAGGAAAGGAGGAGGCACGGACAGCTGAGCTGGCTTTGCCTGCAGTTAAATGCGTGCGCTGCAATTAGCAGTACAACAGGCTCCTTCAAGCATGCACAGCCCCAGCTGCAGGGGATCCGGGTACAGAAAGACCAGGAACCCGCTCTAGGCAGAGGGAAACTTTGGCTCAAAACCAACCAAACCAACCCGACCCTAAAATTCAAGGATACAGAACTTGCTCTCTTCTCAGCTCCTATGTTGCGTGGCATTTTTAGTGCAGTTCTGGCTACAGAAAGACATGCATTTCTTGCTTTGTTGTTGGATTGCGTTCAACTAGCCCTTACTCTCACTGGAATTTTAACCCAGCTTGACTGATGGAAAGCACAGACGGAGGAAAATGTGGTTTGACTAGACTTGTTAAAAAAATAAAAATAAAAATCCACATCTCTCACTTATTTTAGTATCTGAGGGCTTTTTTCCACTTTACTGTTCAAAGAGCAATAGACAGGCAGAGGAATCCAAAAAGCTGCCAGGAATCATAAAATGTACACGGAAAACCTGAAAAAGAACGGTTCAACTGAATACACACGTTTTCTGTAGAAATAGCAAAATTCTCCTCAAGTACAACTCCCACTCAGAAATGGAAGGGCGCACATGCAGCTCAACTCCTCCAAGTCTTTTACAGCAAGTTCAGTGCACTCAGGTCACAGACAACAGAGCAAGAATTACCACAGCCTACAGAAAGCAGTGGAGGCAGCTCTAGAAAGATGTCAGCTAAATAGTAAAATTCTAGTCTGCTTGAAGAATCCAGTTTAATTTTGCCTACTATCTTCCACTTTGATTTACAGACAATTTACAAGAAGTCTTGCTGGACTACAGATATTTTCACAGATCAGCTCCTACCTAGCCCGTCACCATGAACGCTTCCAACGTACTTTCCCCAAGACAGTACCAGTAATTCAGGCATCAAAGTTTTCATGACTGCTGCCTACTAGCATGAGACCATATATTTCCCGAAACAACCAGAAACCTCAGCCTGACTTAAGGCTTACACCGTAACAGCTTCATCACAGCCACGTGTAGATAGGGGTCCCCTGGGCTGGGCAGGTCACAGCTTTGGCATAGTCCCAGGAGAAGGAGGACAGTCGAATTCATACACTGTTTCATAGCTATTTAGCACAGCCTTATAAATAAACAGAAACTTTGACATATTTTTCATATAAACTTTTTTTGAACTTCTTGGCCATTTGATCCTCAGTTTCACCATTAAAAAAACCAAACCAATTTCTGAGCCCTAACAGTACATGGGTGTTCTATAATAAAACTTCTCTTAAACCTTACTTTTGTACCTATTAGTAGAACTCAAGTTTAACTGCCCTCCCGAGACATGCATTGTAATTTGCACCACTTCTACATTTTAAGGAAATTCAGTCAGCATTTTCTTAGCACAAAAAGTAATGTGCAATAAAAAAACCCCTTCTGATACTGTCACCTATTAGACAGTAAGACCCAGAGCAAGTAAACCACTTCCACCTGGGTGAACAAATCCAGCAATCTGCATAGGTTAGAGAATCTGAAATAATTACTGCTGCTTTATTAGTGCCAAGTTTCAACATGCTTTAAAAGGACTCTAAAAGTGTTTAAAGCTTTGACTTGCAGCCTGTTAAACCACAGCTGAATCTCGCCAAGCGGAGCATATGAAGAAGTGGGCAAGCCAATGATATTCAATCAGTAACCATTTGATACCAGTTCCTTACCTGACCACCACTTCAAGCACATCTTTGTCATCCCTTCCTCAAATGGCTAAAGGATGTGACCAGCCCGGGATGATCCATAAAGAACCTTTTACTACAATAACCATCCCTCAGACAAATGGGACCAACTCGAGAGGTTTCTGCATTGAGCTAAGCAAGACAAGTGCTACGGGTATCCATGGGAAATGTGTTTTTGATGCTGCAGAGCCCCTGGGCTAGAGAACAGCCTCCAGGCCCAGCTGTGCAGCCACGCTACTCCTGTTTGTTGGAACTGCTGTCCTCTCACCTGGCCGGAGAGCATCCCCTGAAAGAGCTCCAGCTCTGGCTGCAGCCCCTCCTGCCCCAGCCTGCTGTAACATCCCCTGTGGCACAACCTGGTCCTTTGTCTCTCAGGACCAAGTCAGGCACAGACAGCACCCAGACAGCAGCACCTCCAGCAGACCCTGTCCCCCAAAGCAAGGGGTTGTAGCTCTTCACTCCTCTCCCAGCAGGGCCGCCACTTACCCCATTTTTAACAATAACAACAGCAAAACCAGAGAGAATTCACACTCACCTTTTCTCCCGAGGACTGTGAAGAGCCTCACGTTTCTTGCTTTCTGTGTCTGCTCCTTTCACAACTTCTTTAGAGCTGGTTCAGGGCAGCCAGCCACCACCTCATCCCTGCAGGCTGCCAGTGCTGCTCTTTCACACAGCCGGATGATAACAGCCCCTCATCAAGCCTTTAAGGGCTGCAGCTGCAGATCTCCCTTCTCGGGGCTCAGCTGCCCCCGCCAACGTGGGGGATGTGCCCTTGCCACTGCCTCTCACATAGTGGCCTGCTAACCAAAGGTGTGCAGAGGCTGTGCTGTGCAAGGCCCATGCTTAATATAGATGCTTCATAAAACAGCCTCCTAGAGAAGAAATACTGTCTTTACCTAGGAAGAAACTGTTTCTTCAAGGATTTGCTGGAAAAAGGAGCTGTGAGATCTACAAGTAAATATAATGCAGCTGTGTATCAGCTGTAGGTAAGTCTCACTGTTCCAAACCTCTAGGGTGTGAAGCTGGAACATCAAGACAATGCACCAGAGCACTCAGGTTTGGGACAGGGACATTCTGTGTCAAAGGTTTGCCCTGGTTTTGAAGCCTCTGGAGTCTGACAGGGACCAGACCTAGAGTATTGCAGTCACTGCAGCTCCAGACTGGTACATACTAATTGCCAGTAGCAGAGCTGGGGAGTTCAGTGGCTTGCCTGCTCAACTGGCCCCCGAGCTCCAAGAGAAGATCACTAAGACCAGGTGTCAGTATGATAGTGCTGATTTCCTGGCAACCTTAACACAAAACTTTCCAACAAAGGCAAGCAGCAGCTCTAGGCCAGCAAACAGCAGGGAGACAGGACGGCCAAAGCAGCTTCCCCAGCACCTGTTAATCATGCTCCCCTGCTTGAGAACTAGGAAATGTAAATTAGTGAGCTATGGGAATGCTGAGACCTTGTAAGCAAGTCTGAATGCAAAAGAGCAGCCTTTATTACAGCTGCTTGAGGAGCACAGTAAGTAGGAACTATAGACTACCTTCCAAAATAGAAGTGTTCATTGTACACCCTGAACTCCTGTGAGCAAGGACCAAATCATGAGTCTGAATTGACAACATGGTTAGTACTCACTGAATAGCCAGCCCCAAATAAAAAGTCAGTTGTTGTTCACACCAAAAACTCCCTCAAGCTACAAAGAAGTGGTAGTACTACTGAACCAGCAGCCGCATATATCAAGATGTGCTGCAATGCTAAAAAGTAGAGTCACATACCAAAGCCTAACACATTTCTCTCCTTTGTTGTCCAAACTCTTTTTTAATAAAGACACCAACCATTAAGACGCAGGGAAGTTTACAGATTGATCTGCCCTCTTTGAATGGAAACTTGGTAGCTGCTAAAGCACCCTCATAATATCCCAGTGTGTTGCTCAGTGCCTCGCTCAAGCTCTGCAGTCACACTTCATAAAAAATCTTCATAGACTGTCTCCTGGCAGTGTCACTGTACTTCCCGTAATACAAACACTTTAAAAATGCCTCTAAGGCTTTTCCTTCCCTCCAGCTCTCACCCCCCCAAAGAAAGTCTTTTGATTTAAAGGAAAATAGTACTTCTTAAGTACAGACCCGTCACTTGTTAACTCAACTTCACTGATTGGCTTTAAAGTCATTTCTTCCACTTCTGCTTTATATCTTTAGTCTTCTTAAATTTCTTCTGTTGTTTGGGTCCTCTTGCTGTTTCTAATTTTCTCTTCTTCTCACTGGGAAACAGGAACAAAATATCTGTTAAAAATACAATAGTTTCCCATCCAGCTGGGAAATCTTTGTTGTAAAAGGGGGGCGAGGGTCTACATAGAAATGTGGTTGGGAGAAAATACTTCCAATTTCTTGGGTCATTTAAACTGGTGCTAAAGAAAGCACGAACAAGAGTATGACCTAGATTCTCTAGTGTCTTCAGATTCTCTAACCCAATTTGAATCCTGTAAGATCCTGATTTTTAGCTCTTGTCATTGCTTTTCAAGACTTTAAGTTGTGTCCTAAAGGCAATTCATATAGGGCATCTAGAATTTAGAGTACCTAGAAAAAATATTACCACCGACAGTTTTAAGCATACAATTTTGTTCCTGCACTAGATTCTGACTAGAGCAAACATGACAGAGCTCCAATCTTTATAAGCACTGACAAGACTCTCTCATTCCTGTAAGGCTTCTGGAAACTCACAGCTTCCAGCATTCATGAAAAAAAACACAAATATACAAAGGGTGGAATAGAGATCACATAATTACTTCAACTGTCAGGCGCCCCAGGCAGGGGAAATAAGCAAGCAGGCAAGTCCCAACTATAAATCCCCAAGGAAAAGATGAGGAAAGACTCCATCCTGGGCAAGGTAGAAGAAAGAAGATGGATGAAAAGGAAGGAATTGCAGAAACATAGAGTCAATATTTGAAAGAATTCTTCTTCCCTAAATCTGCATTTTCTCCAATGGGACTATCATAGCCTCCCACCCAGCGTTAGCCCCTAGAGCAAATGGGACAGTTATGTGGAATAAGTTCTTTCTTTAAAAGTGACCCAAGGGAGAAATAATACCAACTTCCGTGCACGAGCGGGATCAAGACTTAACCATGTCAACAGGAAAAAGTTACAATAATCAACTAAGTTACATGATGACCGGACTATACTCTAGAGCAACACAGAATTCACAGCAGCAGTCTCGCCATTAGAGAAACCACTGAGTACCCAGTAGAGGTCTCAGGTGCTCACACCCTGATTTTTCCAGGAAAACTGAGAATCTATCAGGGATGCTAAGTTCATTTTATCTGCATTTAACTCTTCAGCTTCACTCTTTTGAAAAATGTTATAATAAAGCCAGCAGGAAAGACCAGAGAGACCTCTGTGGAGTATTTCAACTTCCTTAACCTTTTCAAACTGACGACGGAAGCGTTCTGTCCTGCTTTGCTCAGCACCTCATTCCATTCTTCATCGTCACCCCGGATAATGTATCTAAGTGAAAAAGGTAAAGGAAAATCTAAGTAAAATTGCTAGCACAAAGTAAAAAAAAAAAAAAAAAAAAGGTGATTATATTGTCAGGCACACACTACTCTACAAAGAAAACCACTGCATCAGCACCCAACCAAATCACTATTTGGAAATACATACAAAACTAGACTGGCAAAGGGATACAATAGCTTGTCACAACTCTGTCAGCAGACTCAGTCCAAACTAGGTCAATAGCAACCAACAATTGTCCCCATGCAAAGCTGGTCTGTGTCGAATGAAGTTCTCTCAGAAGCCCCTATTGTAAACATCACAGAACCGTTCTATGAAAGCCTCTCATCAGAAAAGCAGAGTGCTGAGTAGAGTACATCTGTTATGAAAGCAAAAAATAAGGCCAAAAGTTATACTTTCATAGCAGTGGTGAATACTTCCACTTTGCCCACTGGATTTCTTAAAATAGACCTTCAATCGCTACAGCTTTAAGCTTGACAACCACAATCAGATCTATATTCATTACATAGATTTCTTTATAAAAGCTTGCGGGCTTTTTTTCTTTTGCCCCTCCAAAAAAGAGGAGAAGGAAGGTTGTGGTGGTAAAGGAAGAGGATGCAAAAAGAAATGGCTTATAACGGAAAGTTAGCTAAATTTGCAGCCTCTTAGACCAGCAGTAAGGTTGAATGGTGCAGTTTTTCTGCATCAGTCCAGGAAAAACTGAAGACCTGCAACTTTCTTTTGAAAAGAGAAATAAAGACAACAATTGCTATTCAAATAAGCTCATGTTCTGTGCCCCTTGTCTGGGTGTTCAAGTACCCTGGAAATTACATACAAACTTAAGTAGGCAAAGCAGTCATGTAGCAAAATTGAGTGGTTGCTCTCCATCTCAAGTTCTTAGAGATTTAGAATAGACTAGCCTTTGTTCATACAAGGCTGAACAATACTGGACAAAGCCTTTTCAAATCAAACAGCTCTGTCTCTTCTGTTAGTTTTCTATAACCTGTATTGAAAAGTGTTTGAAATAGATTTTTGTCTCTCTTTCCTCATGGAAGAGAATAGAAGCCTATTTCTGGGTGAAAAAAAAGGGAACACGGTCCAAAATTAGAAACAGGTATGTAACACTATCAACGCTAAAAAATGGAATTAAAACTTTTAAAAAATCCTGGGTTTATTGTTTTCCTAATGTGACTGACTTACAAGTCACTTCAAATCACATCCATTTTTGCCCTTCCTTCAAACAAGACAACCGAAGATTCGAAGAAGCTTTTATTCCTTTGTTCAGATTTAACAGAGATTAATCTAGAGCAAAAGCAGACAACTTTTCTGGGATGCCAGTATAGTAAACAAGATTTATAAGACAAAAACTGGGAGGAGAAGAGAAAGAAGGGAGAGAATCAGTGGCATGTGTAACCCCTGTTGGTCCAGAAAAAGAGACATCTGCTGACACTTCAAGTAAATTGCTGGTTCAGCAACTCAGTATCCTACAAATTGTCCAGCTCTACAGCAGTTAAAAGGCATCCGTGCACACTGTAGTTAATAAAAGAAGCTCTGGTTGGTTGTTCTTTTTCTGTTGGTTTGGGTTTTTTATGTTTTTTTTTGTTAAAGGAGAGAATATTAAAATTAGCCAGGTACTATTTTCACTTGAGTTGCACACACAGCTAAGCTGGATAGCAGACAACAGGACCCGGGTATCCTGGTTTGACGAAACTAACGACTATTTCTAGAAGCACAGGAAACTGTAGAATTAGAAACAGCCCACAGCAAGGCAGCTTGCTTTATTACTCCATATTATAGAACTATGTAACTTATATTTGTATAATATACATACTGTACACAGCCAGGATCAAGATTGACACACAGAGCTACTGCCATGTACGTAGCAGTAAGAGCTACTGCCATGAATAATTTACCATTTAAGTGACAAAAGAGAATAGATGTGAAAGAAGAATGTGCTCAAGCTCGTGCCAGAGGCACTGGGACAGAGCTAAGAATTGATCCAGCGTTCCTGTTTGCAGTACATCTTCTGTTTGCAGCACTGTAACGACGAGTCAGCCCCAACTCTAACAACAGTTCAGTTCTACAATTCCGCAGACAGACAGATCTCACTGCTGATCAGCTGTGAACTGCTAAGTCGCAATCTTCTGCTTTCTGTTCAAAATACCAGCAGAAAAAGGGAAGTCCATAAGTTCACACTTGGGAGTGTGACACACTTCTCAGGCAATGAATTCATGTACTGAAATAAACAGGTGAATGGCCTTGAAGAGAAGCTGTTACTGAATTTAATTCATACTGGGAAGAATGTTTTGAGTGTGAAACAAAGCAGCTGCTAACAGAGCCAATGAAGACTAAGTTATCGGCTGTCAGACACACAATACCCAAAGTTTCCATTAGCGTAGCAGCATATGCTTATCTTACCTGGCCACTACTGAAAATACCCACTGCTATTTCTCATTTATTAATCATTTGAGATTGTGATACTGCAACTACTGCTGCCTTGTGCACAAGTCTCAGCAAGATGTGCAAGTGACCTGGCATTCAAACAGATATCAGGGGAAAACTGGATTTGAGACTCATACAGATAAATTCTTACTGTGTAAGGTCCATTTTCTTCAGCTTCCCCACTTCTTGCTTGTGTTTTTCTTGGAATTCCTTTGCGGCTTCTTCCTACAACAGGACAGCACAACAGATGCATTAAGTTCTAAGTGCAACAGTGACCATGTAATGCAAGGAAAACGCCTTTCCCACTGAAAGAGAAGTACATCCCCTAAAACAAATACCAGATGATCGTGAAAAGCTTCTCTCTTTTATATAATTCCATTTTTTATGTTATTTGTATACATATACTTGTAATATATAACTCCAAGAACATCTTAGTAGGTTCTGCGAAGAATCTATATTGCAGATTAACAAAGCATGACTACAAGCATGTAACACAAAGCTGTCAGGTTTCAACTACCATAAAGTGACAGATCTGATGTGGAATTCTTTCCATCCAAGAAAATTGAGATTACAAGGCTTCTACACCCAAGGGAACTCCATGAAGTGTTTACGTATGTATGAAGAAGAAAGTTCGTAATTACCAAATCGTCATTTAAAGATTTCAGTGTTGGCTCCATTACAATATCCTTTGTGGCCACCATCTGCTCCTCCACAGCTTTTTCCTGGACTGTGTTGAACAACTGAAAATGAAGTAAGCCAATACATGTAAGACTTGCTGATGTTTCTTCTAGGTTATTTCTTTAAAATAAGTAAGAAATGCTGTCTGTCCCCATGACATTCTTCTAACCTTGCAAATATTATTAGGCAGTTTTTTATTTCTGATGCATGCATTCCATCATACTGAAATAAAAAGCTCAAGGCTGCTTCCTGAAAGCAGAATTATATACAGCTTTTTTAAAAATATAAAACTAAAATCACTCAGCGCTCAATGTCACTCGCATAAATGTAGAGAACTCGTAGTTTACAACATACTTTATTAACACAGCATCATTTGATTAACATTTGCAGCTAAAAGCTGCATATTTATTTTTTTGTATGTTATTTTCTTCAAGGTAATTATAAGGATGTCATGCTGAGCAAATCACCTCTCCAATGAACAACCTATGCCAGACTGCAGAAGCTTTGCTACCGTATCCTGATTCTTGAGAACTAGAGGCCCCAGACTCGGCAAGCAATTGCAAGCAGCTGGCAAGTATTCTATCCATCTCACCATTTGATAACTCATCACACCACCCACTTTATCACAGACATTAGAGAGAAAGAAAACCACATCCAGAACTTTCCAATTACTTCCCTGGACTTCAAGTCTACCTCTAAATTACATTGGAAAAGTTTTTTTTCAAGAAAAGTTGAGATGCCACCAACGCAGTGAACAATCATAAACAAATGGCTCACGCTCAGCTGGCAACATGGGTTGTATGCTCAGCATTTTGGTCAAGACATTTCAACGTTTAAAACCATAAGACAAGCACTATATTTGGGAAACACTATATAAATCAATGCCATAAACACCTGCTTTTTCCACCGGGATTTTCCCATCTTACAAAGAAGTTTACAGTCAATTATTTGGGACACTTTAAAGATACACAGCTCGGACTCAGCTTTCTATTAGCGCCAGGCTCAGTATTGGAATCACACTTTGGTCCAATACAACCAAGACAAAGCTTGTCATGATGCTATTACCTGAACTACTTTGCGGATGATTCGGTTGAAGAGGCCCATCAACTGACTGCTGGGCAGTTCTACCTCCTTTTCCAGTTGGTCCAGAGATTTATGCTGTAGGCCAATCCCCAGAAAAAGGGCCTGAAGAAATGACATGTATTTCAGTTATAGAGGCTTTTAGAGCAAATACAAATATATAATACCCTCTACACTCCCTACATTTTACCAAGTCCTTGCTCTACTCAAGTAGTACAAGGCTCCTCTGGTACAAGCTGAAGCTCAGATACACTGGAACACCCCTAAATTATTCTGTAGATGGCAGGTGCCATTCCATACTTAGTACAGATGAACATCTTTCTCCTGAAGTACAGTTCACGAGCCAGAAGATTCTAAGGGGTTTTTAAGGCACAGTTCACACCATATTATAAATGCATGAAGTACTTCACTGAACGCACAATAGAATATGATCCCTACAAATTTTATTCCAAGCAAGCGCTAAAGGTGGAAGAACACTACAAGCAGGAGAAATCATGAAGAGGACTACAAAAGAAGCAATTAACTGAAGCAAAGTCTTTTTTTAAGATGATGTGAAACAGGAAACTATTCCAAATATATATACAAAGAGAGGTGAAGCATAGCTTGTTCTCACAGTGATACATACCGACTGTGCAGCTGAGAGGGAGATATCACCCATCTGGTTGAGAAAAAACATCCTGGCAATGGTAGGTACCATATCCATGATGAGATGATAGTCCACCATGTTGCGAGAGTACATCTCCAATCTCTTCAGGTCATATGGGATGAAAACTGATTCTAATTCAGCACGGCTGATGGCTGATGGATACAATAAAAAGACAACAATGTCAAGACTGTGCTTCATAGTTATCCAGGATCTCAGTATTTAACAAGTTCCTTTTCACATCATTGAGTAAAGGCCAACTGCTATCCCATAGGTTCACTTCCCAACACACTTCAGAATTCAACACACTAGGTACACTAGGTACAACACTGCTATTCAGACTGGCTTGGTTATTCAAAGTCTTTTCAGACAGACATACGCTCATATGAAAAACATTGCAACTGTCAAAACAGACCAGCATATCAACTCAAAGATGCCAGAGAGACTGAAAACAGTGAGGGTTGAGAAACACAGTTTGCCCAGTCTTTAACTCTCTTACACTTGTTTTGCTGTTGAAGAGCTTTGTTCCTTGTAGCAGCAACCAAAACTCTTTCACCAAGACAGATACTAAAAACCCACAAGACACAGATTACCAAGCTCTCTCAAGAGAACTCCCCTCTGTTAGGCATACTGAGAAAACAGCAATTTGCTTTTAAGCCAGAAGTGACGGTTAGAACTGTCTTGTCTAGCCCCTTTTTTTACACTGCCTGTGTGTTTCCCCCAACAACTGCTGCACTGAGCCCAATAACATGCAGTTGAACTAAAGCCTCTCTCTTAGAAAGACATCACATTCCAATTTCCAAATTTCTGACGACAACGTTCTTCCTAAGATCCTAAGCAAGCTGCTCTGCCTACTGACCCTTGCTATTCAAGGCTTCTCTTTTAATTCCATACTGGATTTGGCAGGTGTCAGTATCCATCCATGTTTTGTCATGCATTTAGCTGTTACAGTCAAGAGCCCTGTAATTTTGGGTTACTTAAATCTTCGATCAAAAAAGCAGGAAAAAAAACCCCACACCAAAAAACCACCACTACCTGTTTTCAGTGGCAGAAAATGTCCTCTTAGATTTTACTTAGAAATACAAGCATTTTTCTGAACAATAGGAACAAAACACAGTAACTGACCAAAAGCAATTCATGCCACTTCACAAGAGATATCATATAATGCATGTATTTGAGAACTCTGATAAACATATATATAGACTTTAAACTGCAATCTAACTGGAACATTGTGAGCCAGGGTACTCACGTGGTTGTGGCTGCTGTTTGATATTTTTGTTCTGTAGAATATTCAATGCCAACGAGGGAGAGAACGTGCTGAACTGGTAGGAAAGCAGAGAAAGGAACCGCCTCCTAAAATCTATAGGACAAGATGATAAAATAAACAACTCGTCTGGACCTCTAGAATAAATACCCCAGAAGATTCTTCCAGTGTTGGCAAAATCAAAGTTACCTTTCCAGAAGGCTGTAAGCCAAGGCTCCTGTTCAGTGTCCTCTTCATTCAGTGTCTTCAGCATGATGCACGAATGCTCACCAGTCAAGTCATTCTAATAAACAAGATATATTTCCCATCATCCCCATGAACCTTTTGCACTCTATGCTCAACTGAAGAAGGCAAAGGTCTTCTAAATCAACAACAACAACTCATGTATCAACTGCTACTGATCACCACTACCTAATGTAAAACCTATGAACTTCTAGAATTTGGTAAATCCCAGTGCTGAGGGATTTTGGCTTCTTGAGGTAGTCACCAGTACTGCAAATTCCAGGTACAGCTCAACAGTCAGGAAAAAAAAAAAGAAAATGCAGTGACACGGGAAAAAAAAAATATTCTCTCCAAAAGTACTATAACTGCTAGTGTTATTTTTTATAAACACCTTGAAAAACAAGAGCAGTCAGTTCAAGGGCCAGTTGCATATTTTGCCAATTACCACATTAATAACCCTCAACAGCTGCACCTTTGCTCTAATCTAACAGTGGAAGACCACGTTCACAACCCTAAAACTTTACTCCTTTAGCTAACTATAGGCCCAAAGAACAAAAATGAACATAAAACAAATCCCAAATGTAGTCTCAGAAAACTTTCCTGCCCAAATCACATCTCAAAGAAGCTAATGGAAAGATGCCCAGTGATTTCAAAAGGGCTGGATTTCATTCAGAAACAGTATGCTACTTACTGGTGTCTGCCTTAGATAAACTGGCACAAATCCAGCACGTTTCCAAAACCTGGGGAAAGTGAAAAGAGAAAATGCACTGAGAATTATGGAGCTGTTGATTCTACAATACTACTTGTGGTTAAATGCAATCTATCTACCATACAAGAACAACTGCTGAAAACTAGGCAAAAGTCTGTAAGACACCCAACCAACTAATGAAAATGAACACTGACAGAAAGTAGTAACAGCAGTCAAACTGACAGAGGTTCTAACTTAGAGGAGTGAAAAATTATGGTTGTGATATCAAAAAATGAACAAACTTTCACAGACTGAGAGACACGATACAAGAGTTATTGTATTTGACATGCTTCCAGGACTTCCTTTAAAAACAGGCAAACAGGTTTTGACCAATAATATCACAGACTCCTAAGGGATACCCTGGGGAGGGGCTGAGGATTTACAGTTTACTTCAGAGACTCTGCACTTCTTCAACGAATGATGATTTTCCCTCGCAACTTCCAGGTTTCAGATAGTCACTTGTGGACCAGAGAGAATCCCAGACTGATCAGCAAAATCTTGCTGACGTCCCTTTCCACCCTCCTATTCCTTCTTGCACCTTAGTTGTGAACCGATCCTACAATTCATTTTGCCCAGTAAAAGGAGGACTAGTATAAAAAGACCTGCTGAGACCAAACATATGGCATCCCAGACAAAAGAAAGGAGCCAGGCCCCAGAGCAACCGTCACTGGCAACCTACCTCCACAGGCCATGG